CGATGCTCAACCACTGAGCCATGCCAGCTGGGCCCTTATTCAAGTTCTTAATGGTGTCTTTTGATGAGCAGATGGCTTTCATTTTGATGAAGTCTATTTAAAATTTTTTCTCCTGATTAATGCTTTCTGTGTAAAAAATCTTTGTCTATCCCCAGTCTGCAAAGTTATTCTCTGATGTTCTCTTTTTTCACTTTTTCCTGTTTTATTGAGATATAAATGACATATGACATTGTATTAAGTTAAAGTATACAACATAATGATTTGATATCTCTATATATTAAAGGCTTATATGCAAAGTGTCCCCTCAGAAGTTGGACTGGGAGACTGAGAGCACGATCACTCGCTATGTTGTGCACCTTAAGGAAGGCCCTGGCTGGCAGCTGGGAGGTCCCAATTGGCCTTGATTGCTGCCCAGGCCTAAGGACCCTACCTGTGCACAAATTTTGTGCACCAGGCCTCTAGTATGTATATATTGAAAAATGATTAACCATAAATTTAGTTAACATCCATCACCTCATATAATTACAATTTTTTTCTTATAATAAAGACTTTAAAGATTTACTTTCTTAGAAAAGTCCAAATACATAATACTGTATTGTTAACTATAGTCACCTATGTTTTCTTTTATAAGTGTTGTATTTTTAGGCCTGATCCATTTTGAGTTAATTTTATATATAACATAAGGTAGGAATCAAGGTTTATCTTTCTCCCATATATTTGTTTGGCTGTTACAGTACTATTCATTGGATTCATGCATATATATTAAAAATACATTTTAATTTTTCTATATTTTAAATGTACTTCCTCGTTATTTAATGCTTTACATTAAAATTAAAAACAAATCACACAATATCTTAGATATGTTAACTGTATTTTAATACATTTTTTCCTTTCTCATTCTATACATTTTCTTTTATGCCCTTCAAATTATGTTGAAAAAGAACACATAAACTTTATTTTATTATTATTATTTTTTAAAATATATTTTATTGATTTTTTTACAGAGAGGAAGAGAGAGAGATAGAGAACCAGAAACATCGATGAGAGAGAAACATCGACCAGTCGTCTCCTGCCTCTTGCACACCCCCTACTAGAGATGTGCCCGCAACCAACATACATGCCCTTGACCAGAATCAAACCCGGGACCTTTCAGTCCGCAGACCGACGCTCTACCACTGAGCCAAACCGGTTTTGGCAGGACACATAAACTTTAAAGACTACCAAATGTGTCCAAGGCACAACACATGTGCAGAACCCCTGGTGAGAGGGAAAAACACTCAGCTTTAGAACCAGAGAGACCTAGGTTTCAATGCTCATTTGCTACTTTCTAGCTCTGTGACTTTGATCATATCACTTAACCTTCACTCATATCCCATTCTCCCACAGATTCAGTAAATGTCTATTGCGTACCTACTGTCGGCCACTGTACTCAAGATTTAATACAGATACACAGGTATAACCTTTCCTGCACCCAGTTTACAATGGAGTGGTTGAGGCAGATGAGTCAGCAATACTGTGGTAAGTGCTTTGATAGCTCCGAGCCTAGACTTGTAGAGTTAGGAAAGATTTCCAGATATGAGGACACTAAACTAATAAGTAGACATTAGTCAAGCAAAAAAGGGGACACATTGAGTCAGGCAGTGGAATGAGCCCTTAATAGACAAGGCGTCGTGGAGAAATTGAGCGAAAACTAGATTAGGGAGAGGGAAGGGACCAGCAGTAGCACAAGGCACTGCTGCAGAAGGGTCACATCAGAGGCTCTTGCAGACATCTGAAGGACATCAGCTTCATCCTCAGAGAAGTGGCAAGCTACTGATTTTAATCATTGACAAGTTGTGACAAGATCAGAGTAAAAATATTTTTAAAAAATCACTTTGGGCTTCCGACTGGACACAGGCACAATGAGTTGGAGATTATTGGGGAAATCCTAGTGAGAGAGGGTAGTGGCAACGGGGCGGGAGAAGAATGGGAGGATGTGAGAAGTGAGTAGGAGGTAAAAACTCAATGAAGCAGATATAGAGGCTGGAAAATGAGATGGGGCCTCTTCAGATTTCTGTTGGGACCAACAGAATGAATGGTGGTTCCATTCCCTGGGGAAAAGGGTAGGCTGATGAGAAAACATAAGGTCGGATTTGCATTTTAGGCGTGAAATGACTGGGGATGCTCTGCAGACTTTGTCACGTTGGCCTGAAAATGGACAGAGGGGTTTGGAAGGGGAAGCCATCTGTGTCCACCTGGTCGAGTTGCCAAAGACGGCATTCCTTCTGCCTTCCCGACCTTTGTTCAACATCTGTTGAGGATGTATTTGCTGCTGGACGTCGGAGGTTCATCCGTGAACAGGAAGACTGGGTTTCTGCCCTCAAATCAGTGTGCCGGCTACCTCGTTAAACTTTCCTTAATCTGAAAAATGAATATAAGAAGACTAAGTGAGACGAGGTGCTGTGACGACACCTGACCCTTGTAGTTTTTGTTTGATGACCGTCCCCAGAGCCGGAAGAGCAGATACTCGGTTACTGTGGTTTCATATCCTTTCCCCGCGGGGCTCCCGTGCAGGCTCCGGGCCGCCGGGCGGGGCGGGCAGGGCGGAACCCTAGAGGTCTGCCCCGAGCAGGACCCGGCCGGGCGGGCGCGGGAGCGGCCGCGTGACGTCATCAAGCGGCGCCGCCAGGAGGGCGGGGCCTGAGCGCGACGGCGGGGCGGCGCGCCGGGCCTGGCAGGGGAAACGAAAGTGAGGGAGGAGCTGGCGGTTCTGGCAGCAGCAGGGCCGGGCCCGGTAGCGGCGGCGGCAGCGGCGGCCTGACCCCCCTCTCCGCTCCCCGGCAGCTCGCCCTCTCCCCTCCGTGTGAGTGCCGGCGCGCGGCCCGGGGGCGGCGGGCGGGCGGGCGCGCGGGCTCAGCATCCTCCCCTCCACCGCCGCCTCGGCCCCGCTCCCGCGCGCGGTCTGACCCTCGCCGCCTTCTCGCCCCTTCTCTCGTCCTTCCTCCCACCCAGCCTCCCCAACCCCCCACCTGCTCCTCCTGCTCCCGGGGCCGGAGCCGCCGCTGACTTCGCCTCTGCGCACACACTCACACGTTCACGTTATCTTCCAGTGGAAAGACGGTCCGGGGAGATGGGAGCTCCCCTCTTCCCGCTATGAGCCGGGGTGGCAGTGCGAGCCCGAGGCCCCGGGAGAGGAGGCCGGCGAGGGGCTTGCGAAGCCCCTGCCTGGGGAAGCAGCAGGTAGAAGCAGGCCTTCTCGGAAGTTCCCGGCCAGCGCGCCCTGGGGCCTGTGTAAGGTCGCTGGGTAGCTGTGCGGCCTCCCCGTCTCGGGCCGCAGTTTTTTCCAGTGGAAAAATGAGGGTTGGACGAGATGATTTGGAAGGCTCCGATCTAAGGCGGTTTGGAGAGGAGCGTCAGCATCCTTCCTTTCACACAACTATTTCTTCGCCTTTTCTTGCACCTACCCCAACCCTATCCATACTGAGCTGCTTCTGCTCCGTCTCCAGAGCCACCAAGAGCCAGTGGGGCCTTTTTTTTTTTTTTTTTTTGGCGGGGCGAGGGGGGCGATATAAGATAGGTTTAAAGTGAAATGTGGCTCAGCTTGGTCCTGTTTGTTCACTGCCTTCTGTTCTTCCTGCGACCCCAGGAGAGCCAGTGCCTGGTGAGAGGCTGCCTCCCTGGAAGGATGGGATATGCATTAGGTTGACGAGCTCATCTTTGAGCTGGAAATAAGTGAAGCATGTGGTCTAGGTTTTTGGGAGGTTGACGGGATCACTGATATCTTAGATTTTATTGTAAGTCTGTTCTTTGGCCCCTGCTCCTCCTCTTCCCGGAGGATTGCAGCCCTGTTTGCTTCTGTTTTGAGTCCTTTTTCTGAGTCCTGTTAAGGCCAATCAGCTGTGTATAAACCACACTATTCACTACTATTGGTTGCTTTTTAACTCCATCATTTCTTAAGATGTCAGTGTCTTCTTGATCTCTTCCATCACACTTTTTTTTTTTTTTTAAGTCCTCACCCGAGGATATTTTCCCATTGATTTTTAGAGAGGGGAAGACAGAGATATATCGATGGGAGAGAAGTTGGTTGCCTCCTGCTGGCCCCTCAGAAGGGCCAGGGGCGGGGGAGGAGCCTGCAGTGGTGGCGGTATGTGCCCCTGACCTGACTCTAACGTGGGACCCTTCTGTCCTCAGGTGGAGGCTCTGTCCACTGAGCCAGACTGACTAAGGCTTTTTTTTCCCCTCATGCTTACCTCATGCATTACCCATGGGCATGGATAATGGTGGCATGGTGCCTACCTGTTTTCTTTCCTTTTTGTTTGTGGAGGTGGGTTTCTGTCCTTAAAATTACTTTTGTATGTGAGTCTTATGTTATGGCTACATCCAGTTCCAATAATTTCTCACCCGTATTTCCTCAGTCCTAAGTCAACCAAGGCTTCCATTCCTTACACTGGTGAAAAACTTTCCCAATTTTTTCATGTTTTTAAACATCCTGAAATAAACAAACAAACAAAAACATCAGTGTTTGTATCATATGGACTGTTAATTATCTGGGTAAAATAATAACAGTGATAAAACAATCATTCTGGGATGGTCTGATCACCTTGGAAATGATTGGTTAATAGTCATTTGTTAATAGTATCAGAATCCATTTCCAGTGTACATTGTTGTTACACATGGCCAGTGTTGCATCAAAGTATAGAATAACAGTTTCCCAAGGCTTTTCCCCTGTGGTGTGTGGAGTTGTCCATGACTTTTTGGAATCTGACACTCAGAGGCCTCTGAGTCTGTGAGTACCACATTTTACAGTGAAACTAACGGCTATTTTTGAAAGCCCAAGCTTGGCTAGCATCCATGCTGGACCTCTTTGAGGAAGAGGCTATTCAAGTGCTGGCACTGGAAGTTGTTTGGAGTTGCCAAATCCCATCCCATTTATAATTTATACTTGAGAATCCCTGCTCTGCTCCTAGAGACTCTGACATGAGCAGCTGATTGTCTTGTCTGGATTTATGGTTGCAGTCACAATGAAGAGGAGAAATGATCCAGAATGCACTGCCCCTCTCAAGAAACAGAAGAAAAGAGTTGCAGAGCTTGCCCTGAGCCTCAGCTCTACATCTGATGATGAACCTCCCTCCTCTATCAATCATGCAGCAAAAGGTATGCTTGCCTGTGTGGTCTGAGGCCACTGGCCATCTGGTTATATGAATCCTCGGAGCCTAAATTGGGCAGACTACAGTCCACTGCTCCTTGCGGAAAACTAGGCAAATTCTGCAGAGAGATGCTGGCTGTAGACTCTTCCTTTCTGCCATTCTCCTAATAGCTGTGGGGGACTTTTTTTACACTTGATCTTAGCCAAAAGGCCGAGAAGCGATGTGGGGGACTTTTTTTAAATAAAAAATTGGAATTTTTACAAAGTGCGGTAGCTTGGTTGCTGGTCCTTCAGCAGGTGGCACTCTTGATGCCATAAACCAGGTGTAAGAACAGGCATACCTTGAACCTACGGCGAGTTTGGTTTCAGATCACCAAAATAGTCATAATCAGTGTCTTGCCTTCAATATGTAAAAAAAACCCCTGCAACATCTGTGAAGCACAGTAAAGCAAAGGGCAATAGAATCAGGTGTGCCTTGCTCATCTTGTGCTCTTAACAGTTAATGATCCTGAGGCTCTTTGCTGCAGTGACGTGGTCTAATTTCCCTTAGGGTTTTGCATTGTTTTCTCAATTCCCTCAGCAGTTCTGAACAAAAATACCCAAATGAATTGGAACATGCCAGTATTCACTGTTTACATTAAGCTCTAAGGACTTCGCTCATCTAGATTTTGCTTTGCCTGTTTCTTAGGATTATGGACATTCACAGTTTACACAGATGCTTTCTGTGAGACATTGTAAAGTGTCTAGGAGCTTGCCTCAACTACCAAGCAATTAGAAGTAGCTATATTGTATTTACCCTGAATTACTAGTTGTATGAATTTCCAATGCCTGCTGTAACAAATACAAACTGGGTGGCTTATATCATGGGCAGAAGTCTGAAATCAAGGGGTCAGCCCAGGCCGTATTCCCTCCCACGGCTCTTGGGGAGAAGGCTTTCTGCCTCTTCTGTCTTTTGGTGGTTGCTGGCTGTCCTTGCTGATCCTTGGCTTATAGTAGCATAAACAGTCTCTGCCTCTGTCTCTGTGTTCAAATCCCCCTGTTCTTATAAGGACACCAGGGCCCACCCTAATATATTATAACATCATTTAACTTAATTACATCTGCAAATATCCTATTACCAACTGTCCCTTCCCAGACTAGGTGACATTACCTTTTGGGAGACACTATTTAACCAGCTGTCTTGCATTTTGGATCATCTGTTGGGTCACTGGTAAATTGAAATGAAATTTGGTAACAAATTGGTATTATAAGGGTGTGAAGCATCCTTGAAGGAGGTAGAAAATTCATTTTATTCATAAGTGGTAGGCTAAAAAAAAAGTAGTAGGCTAGTTGAAGGGTAGTTACTCATCAGTTGTCTGAGAAGCTGGTCCAGAGAGGAGAAGCTTAACAGGTGGCACAGCTAATGAAGCGTTTGGTGTGGCTGTGGTCCCGGCTGGACAAGAGACTCATAAACTTATGTGTGCCTTTAAAGTTGTCATGTTGAGTTCCAGGGTAGGTGAGAAAGGCTGCATGTAGCAGGTTACTAAGTAGGAAGGTAAAAAACATACTGGTGCATGTGCTCTCAGGACTATTAAGGAAAGGGAATTTTGGTTCTCATCTGCAATTGAAGCAGCTTGGCGAAGGCAGAGGGTTTCCTTGGGTAGGCTCTGGGGTATGAGGGGAGAGAGGCCTGCAAGGGAAAAGGGAGAAATGTCTGGAGGAAGAAATGACCCTTAGGTGGTGGCGGTATGTAGTTCCAAAAGGCTCTTGGTGAACATTTGGCCTCAAGTAACATCCTTTGATGTAAGGAGAGCACAGTGTCCAGGTAGAGGAAGGTGAGTGTATATGGTTAAGGATCGTTAAAGGGAACCAGTCTGATTTAAATTTCAAGCTTTTAAAAATGTGACTGTGGCCGAAACCGGTTTGGCTCAGGGATAGAACCTGAAAGGTCCCAGGTTCGATTCCGATCAAGGGCATGTACATTGGTTGTGGGCTCATCCCCAGTAAGGGGTGTGTGCAGGAGGCAGCTGGTCGATGTTTCTCTCTCATCGACGTTTCTAACTCTCTTATCCCTCTTCCTTCCTCTCTGTGAAAAATCAATAAAAATATATTTTTAAAAAAATGTGACTGTGAATTGAGATTAGCTCTCTCCCCCTCACAGACTCCCTTGAATTGTACCAAATAGCTTTAACCTTTTCTGGGAGTAGCACCATATGACTCAGGATTGACTGTTGCTGCCGTGTGTGCAGAATGGAAGTCTGGAGATGACGGGACTGTGTATGCTTCTGGCAGTAGGCCATTTATGGTCCTTTCATTTGTAGAAAATGAGGCAGGAGGTAGAGGCAAGCAAACATGCCCGATTTCCCTGGGTCAACTTATTTTAGAAAGGGGCAGCTCCACGTTGACACAAAAACTCTGAGGACTAGGGTCTAATGTCTTCAGCAAGATTACTCCTTTGTCTCTCCCCACCCTAAGCCTGTGCTTGGCTGGAGTAAATGCTCAGTAAATATTTACTGAATAAAATAGATAGAAGGCAGCAGTAATATCTTTTCCAAGAAGCTTAAAATGCTTCACCTCTTTTGTTTTGCCTGCTCTTCTTACAGAAGACCATTTCATTAAGTACTTAGTATGAGCATTTATGTTATTTCTGTTCTGTATTGGCTCCTCTAAGGCATCCATCCCTGGACAGTGTGTGCTGGGAGTTACTCTCTCACCAGAACCTACGTATCCATTAAGTCATAGCATTAAAGCAGGTGTGTTTCCTTTGTTCCAACCACTTCAGCCGGCACATACTGTTCAAATGGATGATTGAAACATGCTCTCTAGGGAGTATAATTAGAAAAACAAAAAAGACAGTAGTTACTATTTCTGTCTGTCTGGGCCTTATTTGTGCTGCTGTTTCTTCCTTTTTAAAAATATATTTTTATTGATTTCAGAGAGGGAGAGAGATATAAACATCAATGGTGAGATAGAATGGCTGCCTCCTGCAGGCCCCACACTGGGGATCCCGCCTGCAGCCTGGGCATAAGTCCTCACTGGGAGTCAAATTGTGACTTCCTGGTTCATAGGTCAGTGCTCAACCACTGAGCCACGCCAGTCAGGTTGTGTGGCTTCTGCTAGATCTGTGTGATGACTCATTAATACATCCTTTTAACTTAATCAGTTTATGTTACATTATTGACAAGGTAACTGTATTGCCAGGTCAGAGACTGACATCATCTGACCAGAGTAGAGAAGAAAGGGATGTTGTCATGGATGTTGTCAATTCACAACATGTGATTATTATGAATATTTTAAGAGGAGTTTAAAGGCACTTGCAAGCCTAAATAAACACTTGGAAATTTGCTATTAAGTAACAACCTTTTGAAGTAAGGAGAGACTGGTGGAAGTTATTTTGTTCATTGTGGTTTTTTGTGTTTACTCATCTAAGGATATTTTTCCATTGATTTTTTGTTTTGGTTTTTTGTTTTTGTTTTTTTAGAGAGAATGGAAGAGAGGGAAAGACAGAGAGAAATATAGATATGAGAGAAAATATATCTATTGGTTGCTTTCTGCATGGCCCTGACCAGGGCCTGGGCTGGGGAGGAGCCTGCAACCGAGGTACGTGCCCTTGACCAGAACCAAACCTGGGATCCTTCATTCACAGGCCGATGCTCTATCCACTGAGCCAAACTGGCCAGGGCCTTTTTGTTGTTTCTAACAGGAAAACTTGTTCTTAGGTGTGTGCGTTTGGCCCTCCCATAGCATGTGCCTTGGAAGCTGCCAGGGTCCTTGCCCAGCACCACGCTAACAGGCCTCCCCTCTACCAGACTTAAGTCTTCCCTAAATAGGCTATTTTCCCTGAAACACCATTGCTTTCCTGTCAGTCCAGATTCATGACCTTAATCAAAAACTTCCTTTATCGGTACCTGTTTAAATTGCTCTAACGAGTTACCATTTGTCTGGCACGAAGAAGAAATTGAGTCTTTAAACAGGAATGAGTGTATTCCACAGCAGTTGTTAGGCAGGATGGGATGTTTATTAAAATCCATAATTTATTCTTCCCTATCTTTGTGCTGCTCACCTTGGCCACTAGTGTTTGGCTCTGCCCCTCCTATGTGTTGTCACTGTCATTTCTAATCTTGGCATGTTTGCTCTACTGTTTTGTTGCCTGAGCAGAAATTTGGCCAGTAGCTGGGAAGCCTCTTCCTTCTTTAAAATGACTTCAGAGTAATGCCCTCTATCAGGGAGAGAAGAAATCCTAAGTGAAAACTCTGTAAGTGATGCTTTGGGCGCTCTGGTGGGTTTTAGAAGAGGAGCTGCTGGGAGGTAAATGGGAATGCCACCAGCTTTGGCACATTCTTAATGAAACTAATGATTCTAATAGACTGACCTTATTAGTCCCGTTAATTTATACCTTCATTACAGGAGTATCTGTTCAGTGTTTGCTAAATTTTTAGCAGTCTTGGTAGGCTAAACCTCCCCTTTAGTTCCTGCTGCAGCCATGGCAGGTGTCTCCTTTTCATCCGAAAAGAGTGGCCCCAAGGCCCAGGGGTGAAGTGAGTAGTGGCTGTGATAGTCTGTGGACATTAGGACTCATCTGGGGAACTCTGTCTCAAATCCTGTCAGGCTAAGAATTGGCTTCACATACCACAGGAAATAAAAGAGAAATAAGGATTATCTGTTCATCCATCATACTTTTTGACCTCACAAAGAAATGTCTACAGTATCTAGTAAGATGGTATTTTAGCTCCCATCAGCCCCGCTCTCAGAATCTGGACAGGGCAGCTGTACGTTAGGTGACACCTAGGGAAGAGGAATGGAGAGGAAAGATCTTTGTACCAGAATCATCACTGATTTGTCAAATGAACCCTCCACCCAAATTTGGTTCTTTCTGCCTTTTTGGTCCAAAATGTTTCGAAGATAAAGAAAACAGGTCTTCCTCTGAGATCTGAGGTGGCAGGAACCCTGCGTGCTCAGGAATGATGTTTATCCTGTTGATGGTGCCCATTAATGGGACAAGCCATCCTGGCATCCTGGCAGCTCCCTA